GTGCTGGTGCATAAAGCAGGTTGTCTTCACCCTGTCAAAAGCTTCCCGATGCTCGGTGTTCCAACACCATTCCACATTCATCTTAAGGAGATTCGAAATGACCATGCCACTTCCACATAATTCTCGCTGTACTTTGCAAGTAGTTGGCGAGGCTAAGCCACCTGCGCAAGTCCTTTTAATTCCTTGGAGCCGACCATGCCACAATGACTTTGACCTTAGCGGGATCAGCTCGAAGGCCACGCTTTCCAATTAAGCACTCCAAAGAGGGGATTTGTTCTGGCGCTGAAGATACACTTGTCTGCATTATCACACATCAGTCCGTAGGTAAGACCGCCGGCTGGTCTTTGAAAACGACGTCTTAAGATTTGTTTACCAAACGATAGTACGGATCCGAAAGGTTCCTTAGGATCAAAAATCCACCTCGTGCGTTCAGCACCCTCTTGGTGTCCTCCAGGACAGCTTTATTCAGAAGCAACGCCGAGTTGGTCTCTTCTTCCGGTCGTATAATGACCACTTCGGCTAAGTTGCCTGCCTTTATGGCACCACCCATTTCTTAAGGACATCTCGTCCAGCTCAAGAAGAGCATCCATCGCAGAAATAGTCTCGAGGTTGATATTGCTGTCTTCCTCTCTCGTCATACCGTTGACGAGGGTGTATAGCTGTGCGCTATCATCTACGGTAGACACATCCTGGGTCAGGGTCGATGCCCGGCGTCTTGTAGATAACATACGGTGTTGCCGTCGCCTGTCCCCAGAGGTTGTAAGTCTGGCAAGACCAGTAGAAACACGGACTCAGCGTCGTCCAGTGTTAGCCTCACTTCCTGCTCTGCCGGAGCCTTGATGTTATCAACAACACCCGACAAAGAAGTGCTGGTTCTGCAGTCTTCGTCCAGTGGATAACGTGCCACTCCACACGCATCTAAAGGGCCTTGTCCAAGATGGCTCGTACCTCGTCCTACCATGCCACTCGTGGCATGCAGCGACTGCTCTAACATGCGAACAGTACTCACTGGATTACGTGCCACTCCACGTGCATCACTGGGGCCTCTACCTCGACGCCTCGGACCTCGTTCCGACCATGATACTCGTGTCATGCAGCGACTGTCATGATACTTGAGCAGTGCTCAGTGGATTACGTGCCACTCCACGTACATCCCGCGAGTCATGCTCGGAACTCCTGTCCGGTACACTTTTGGTTTGAACCAGCTTGGATCTCCAGCACGTTGACCATCTAGGTCAGCCACTAGTATTTTTGCGTCGTTCATGACTCACCAAAGTTCCACCAGGAGACGTGCGAGTAGACCCCACGATCTTCGACCCCAGGCAATCCATGACCCATGGTTTTTCAACCATGCCATGCCAAAAATGAGGTCATACCTTGAATTCAAGTCTTACTAGGCAGTGTTCCACGCTATCAAAGTCAAGAAACTTGACACCGAAGTCCACAGGGACCCTCAGCACCGTGACACATGCCCCCATCGCTAAGCAAACAGTGACGATGTCACTTAACCGCACATTCAGCGCCTCAGCATGCAGCTGACTTCTTTCCATCGTGAAGCGTCAAGCATACTTGCCCGCCGCCCCGGAATCGATCAAGATTTTACATGGCTTCTTATAGCCCTTCCTGATCGCTTCCCAGACCAGAAAGCCCGGTCTGTATACACGATCCGTGTTCAAGAGCACGGAGCTCTTCAGGGCTGGGACTAGCTGACCACTACCTCTTTGAGGCTCAACAGAATTCTGCTACCCAGTAGGGCGCCCCGTGCCTACTAGGTGTTGTCGTTTTCCGCGATGAACCTGAGGATTGGTAAAAAAGACGTCGGTTTGATTACCCTTAACGCGCCTTGCGCAGGGGACAACCAATTCGAAGGTGAAGGGTGTCTCCACATACAAGACACTGTGTGGGGTTCGAACGCTGCTCGGCAGCTCGGAGCTCTCCTTCCTCTTTCTCAGCATAGCTGAGATTCATCGGCTAAGGCCCGTTCAACGAGCTGCTAGAGTGTGCACTCCAACGAAGTCGTTCCGACTATAAGTTATAATCGGCATTCAATGCCACATTTACTGCTTTTTCAAGAGAAAGCGGAAGCACACGGAAGACTTCCATTCTGGCCACGCCAGTGCGGAGGCCGTCCATAGAGACGGTCACTGTGACCGCCTCGGAAAGAAGATCTGCTACCATACCGGCAATGAGAGCTTCTAAGTCTTAGACGTAGTCCACCAACCTATTCTTGCCCTGTCGAGCGGCAATGAAACGTGATCGAACGCGATATGCCTAGCTAGGCGGCGAAAACACTTGTAAAAGCTGCAGCTTCAGCTCCGTCGAGGAGGAAAATGCCGTCTTGACCGAAGTGCCGCACGTCAGTGCTTATCCTCGTGCTAGACTATCAAGCTTGGAGACAGCTAACACGCTGTTGCTCCCATAGCCATCTCGGCCTCTCTAACCCAGAACAAGAGATTCGCTCCATCCTTGCCCACCATGAGTGGCTTGGATCAGAAGGAAACATCCGTCGACACCGCCATCTTCTGCTCTAAGTGCTCTTGCAAAGCTTTTTCATAGTCGAAAAACGCCTCTAGACCCGCGCTGACTGCTTCAGGTCCTTGCGAAGCGAGGTGTTGCGCACTCTCAGGGCCAAACAGAGACATCAGCTTTTTAAGCCCGTCCTGCATGCCCTGGGGCAAATAAGAGCTGCTAATCCTTACAGAGGATCAGTCGTAACGACGCAAGTGTAAATTGACTACAAGTGAGGCGGGGTGCCGTAGCTCTTTAGCTTAAAGGAAGTTAAGCTAAGGTCACCGACCTTATCTTCAATACTAGAATCAGTACAAGTGTAGCGGATCGCAATCCGCTTACCTCAAGAGTAACCACAACTTATCCCCAAGGCGAATAAACTCTTCCGTTAAGAATGTAAACTGGACTTCTTTGTTTTATTTGCGACAGAGCCTCCTGTATCTGATCCATACGTTTTTCTAGTAAGACCAAATTAAAATGCATGAAAAGTGGCAGTCCAGCCACGTAGTGGCTTCTTGTTAACGTGTTGCCACACAATGGTGTGGCTACGCCATCTTGTGTGACCCTCTCCCTTATACCAGGGTACGTGTAACCGCGTTACATCCACCCTAACGCGGAACGATTAATAGGCTGAGAATTTGTCAGGGCCGTTACTAGTACTTCGTGAAATGGAGAAATACCTACATTCCGGCAACCCATGGAATCCTTCACCAGTATCATCTGTCTCATGGATGTGAGCGAACTGTTAACAGACATTACCTGAGGTGACATATTCACTTGGATGTCGACGTCATCAAGGACGCCCAGGTTGGTAATCTACCTCAGTGGAGCTGGTTTGCGAAGCTGTCAGACGGGTGTGGTGACGTGTTGTATTCAGCCAATGAGCATATATAGTGCGATACACCGCAGCACTTTTGCCAGTATTCGGTTTCCAAAGTACAGTTTGCATGAAGAATACAAATTCTATCGTGCTGCGCTGCTTCAATATACGTTGTGTGCGGCAAGCTGTTCCTAAAAAGACTAGTCTTGCTCTCTTATTGAGTGAATGGTGTCTAAGAATTGATGTGGACGGGCTTCGCCACGGCGCCGCGATCAAAATTAGTAGCTTGAGTCGGAAAAGCTGTAGATCAGGCTAATTGGTATGTTGTCGCAAACTCTGCGGCAAGATGTTTCAATCTATTTTGCATCTGGGAATGGTCTCGAAGCATTTAGCTCCTAGAAAGGAGAGGCGAAGCGTAGAGAGTTACTCATACTCAGTGAACACGCTCATCTGAATCTTTCTCGTTGAGGGCAATTGTGTCGGGTTAGGACTCAGAGAGTCGCTTCAGCCGCTCCCACCGGATAGAACCTTTGCCTTCTCAATAAGAAGGACCCTAAAACCGCTGACTGCAAGGACCACGTCTATCTCACAGGCTCGTCGAGTAGTACGAGGATATGTTGGGGCGAGGATTCACGAAGCGAATATGCTTGTAGGAGCATCCACTGTAGGATGCAAGCAGTGGATATAAATTTTAAGCGCTGTGAGTGCTCGTTGAGCGTTGAAAGACAAAATAAGTGGAACTCTGTTGTGATTACATCTGGGGGATATTTCGGATTACGTACCATAATATTGTGGACGAACTCCTTACACTTATGTGCAATGTGCGAAACCCGTCTTTGATTGCTATGCAACCGTATTTGAAGCATATGACACTTTTTGTGCAAACATGTACAGCTAAAAATTATTGAAACACTGGAATGACAAAAACTAGACTCCGTAAGGAAGCGTTCCTTGTTCCGTCGGCCTTACAACGTGCTATACATATAGTCTTATTAATGAACATAATGAAACAGATACATTCGTATTAGTATATAAACACGAAATCCCAGATATCAAAGCTGGAATCATATAAGGTTTGCATTACGAATCACTAAAATCTCACTCTTACCAAAAATTGTTTGACTCCCATCATACTCAGATGCTCTAAATGACTCTTAAAATGCTGTTATCATTTAACACGTTAGTTTTTGGTGATCACGTCTTAATGGCTCTCGTTTTCGCTTCTAGGTGCCGCATGCAAACACATCTTCTCTGCGTTATTAACACGGACTCTTTGAGTTTAAGCGCTTTCTGTACAAGGTTACTGACGACCTTGTTGAGCCACTTGTATATTGTTGCTTGAATAAATAATACTCAATTATAGTTTCGCTCTATACACGCCTCCTCTGCATCAAACGTACTAAAATAAAGGACACTTAAACTCTAGCAGTCTAAAAGAAAATAGCCTTGACACCAAATTCTCTTTACATTCACCTCGGTTCGTGATCCATGATTTTTGAATCACGACCCATTGATATCGTTCCGGGTAATATGCTATTCGCCAAAATCGTCATGAGAGCTAGCGCGATGAATGATATTTGAATCACAGCTTTGGAGATATTCCACCAAACCCTTTTTATCTAATCACTAATTGTTTCTTATAGAGTTTAGTAATTCCAAGCACAAACAATGTTGCCAGATTTATTTCAGTCTACAATAAACGACGACATTTATCTTTGATTAAAGATTCCGATGTCGCCAGCTAAAACAAACAAATTTACTGTCTTAAGAACAACAGCCAAACTGATTTTTCGATGCTTCATATAATCCTTGACATCGTGTGAAATGTGAGCCCTGAAAGAATCCCACACAAGCATTTATCCCTGAGACCCACCTGCGACGCGCGAAATTTATGCTCCATCATTACATCCTTTGTTAACCAGGCCTTGCTTTGGTTTACATCCCACATGTCATGATTCCTTTGCAAAGGCGAATATTTGACCTTAATTATCTGTCAACAGAGGCGTCAAGTTGCTGTCATCGACTTTGGCGGAGTACAACTGTTATTCTCATAAAGGCAAACGTTCTGAGATTCAGCAAACCGGAGACGTTCACCAGTTGTTTCCATTTTTTTGCGTCGCGGGTTTTCCAACTAAACAGCAGTCTCGTCCACTGGACCGCGTTGGAAGGAACACAGGTTTATCTGGTATCGGCCAAATACTTCAGGTGCGAATCAATATGACTTTATGCAAAGTTGCCAAAATTGTTAACCGATGAAACGAGAATTGATTGCGCCTCATATTTGGTCACAGCCATCAGATGCCTTGAGCCATCATTAATGTGCTACCGTTAAACGATCTCTTGAGCAATGTGGCGAACAATTTTTCTGGTCACGCGCCCCTTTGCAGACTTTGATCTAGAATTATACTAGCGATCTCTTCATTATATTTAGTAAAGATGCTTGTGCGCCCGCCGCCGCGTGCTTCCTACCAGATCGCTAGAAGGAGCCTCGAGAATTTCAGTAAGGTTCGCCCACCAGATCAGCACCGTCCCAAGGGGAGTTTGAGCTTCTTCGCAGCCCGTGTAGGCTTACTTCCAGTAAAATCGATCTATCATATGATGCCTCCCGTTTCGGCATCGCTTTAAAATTTGCACCGACTACGTGCTGGATGCACTGCGAACAAAAACCGCCAGTGCGCTCTTTAAAGGAGGGCGTTTATCTAGTAGAGTGTATTCTAAAATGGGGGACAATACCCGTTTAGCGCGCTGTAATAGAAAAAGCGCTTTGATACATCATCAACAAACTAGTTCAAATATATTGTATTCTCGACCTGTAGCACTACTTCTTCATTGAGATAAAGTACTAAATTTTGCTTTTACAGCAGTGTGATTATAGATTGCTGTGTTTGATGGCATATCGCATGCTAGCGAACGCGTCCAGCATCAAATCTTCAGATCGACAGGCTGTTAGCCAGTTTTGAAGGGCTGCTGTTGAAAAATAGTTGCCTGATCCAGATTGAAAACTTCAAAACGTAATAGAATTTCATTTTCGTCATTTTAATCATGAACTTTACGATATGTTTCTTGTTCGTAACGCAGCTGAGTCTACAATTACTTTACGCTCATGTGCTATCATTTACGCGATTATAATGTTTTGATTACTGTTTTGAAATGTTGAGATTATTCACTTTCGCTTTGACAGCATTGAAAACTAGATCTCATCCTAAATCCAAAAGGTATACACTGTGACGCCAACTACATTTGAAAATACTTCTCATCAAGAAGTTTTAAAAGGGAGATTGGTGCATCGATAATTATTGACAATGAGTATTATTCTCTTGCAAGTCAGTCTATATTTTCGGTTGATGTCTGACTGTAAGTATGTGATTGGGTTCTGGTTTCACCAGTTATCAAAACTAAACAATATGCATGTGTTGCTCACTACAAGTTAAATGTGAAATATTATTGAGTATTCTTCTTATCAAGTAAACGTCATAGCTGTCTAGATTCGTGTTTCTTGAGACTTGCTACATACTGCAGACTTTAAGTAAGGGAACTTAATCTCTAGAACATAAATTTCCATTTCACGTGATTTCAGAACTGTGCAGGATAGAAAATGTACACCTCCTTCTGATCCTATGAACGATAGATGCTCAGCCTTTAACGCGAGAACTCCGAATCGCGTGTCTCTGCCTTTGACATGTTCTCGTGCGCACTATAATCATATGCGAGGCCACCATGGTAGCTAATGTCAATACCGTTCACCTCCTTGTCTCCATCTACACGTAGCCCGACCGTAATCTTGAGCAAAAACAAAAGTATTATCGTTACCACAAATGAATACGCTGCGGCTACAATCTGTGATACCAATTGATGAAGAAATAGCTCGCCGTTACCGTAAAATGCACCACTCTTGATGTTCGGATTTACTTCTGACGTGGCAAACAGGCCAGTCATAAGGCCTCCCATGACGCCAACGCAGCCGTGAATGGCAAAAGAATCGAGGGTATCGTCATAGCGTAAATGTTTTTTCATCATGATAGCCGCAAAACCCG